CGGGCCACGCCGCCGTGGCGCGCCTGCTGCTGGACGCGGGCGCGGCGGCGGACGCGCGCGACATGCTGCGCATGACGCCGCTGCACTGGGCGGTGCAGAACGGCCACGCGGCGGCGGCGGCCGAGCTGCTGCGCGCGGGCGCGGACCCGACCCTGCGCAACAAGTTCCGCAAGTCGCCGCTGGAGCTGGCGCGGCGCCTGCGGCGCGCGGACCTGGTGCGCCTGCTGGAGGACGCGCTGCGCCAGCGCGAGGCGGCGCGCTCGGTGTCGGCGCTGGTGGACGGTATCGTTGCTTCTACTAAACTTGAGATAATTATGTTTCACGCGTATGTACGTATGAGCGCCGGTCCTCTCCTGTCTAGTCTAGTATAAAATCGCTGGAGAAGTTTCTATAGGTACGTGGATCGGACGCACCTATGAGCCACTCGACTCGGTAAATTACGTGATCGATTTTGCAAAGCCTATGGAAAGTGAAAGTCACTGATTGTTGTTACAGAACAAATGGCAGAAGTATCCACCGCAGAACCTGAGATAGAAACATTCGATGCGGTCCAAAGTGAGTCACACTGTAGACTTCCTGTCGGTAACTGTAGCATAGCCTAGGCACTTACATCAGATATTGATTTGATTTTTAACCTTTATGATATTCTAGGAATTCAGGATATAAAACTACCGAGGCCAAAGCAGAATGATAAGGCAGTAAAAGAAGAATCAAAATTGGAGGTAAGTATTATAGTGATGAACAAATATATCTATTTTAGACATTTACTTAAGAATTTGAACCAATTTGTCTATACTAGGACTTTATTTTGCCAACTTACTTGATATGCGACTCGCAGCGCACATTTTGTAGGCAATTGTTTGCAGTTTAAGTTCACATCAAAACAGTACTCAAATGGGTATATAAAATTAGAGAAGAACTAAATGACAATGACCAGATTCGTATAGGGGCTGGTGCTTTTTTATTTTTTCGCGACAGTTGATTGGGTGTGGAAAAGCTAATGCAGAATCATATATCAAATAAAAAAAATATAGGGTCTTATATCAAAAACTCAATCTAACTAAACAGAGTTAGTCAGTTCAAAGATGTGAAAATAGTGCTATATTATTCTTGTTATTTGTTGATGGTGAGTTGGTGACCGCACACAGTGCATATTTTCTTCATCTACTTATCAGAAATATTTTATAATTAACATTTATAAGCGATTTCAAGAAATAAAATTAACTTTTTAACTTTTTTTGTAATATAGCCAGGGAAGCAGAGCTTGGTATGTGTTTAAACAAATAAATCGTTAACCGACCATTGCACAAGTAAAAATAATCTTTCCGCGTCTTCTGGCTAACGTCTTCACTTTATATACGTTCTTTATAAATAAATAAATGTATGATCTATGACAGATTTTCATGACCAATTTCCTCTCAGTCGACAACCCCCAAAGTAATTACATGAGCCTTATCATTACCACCATACGTGAGGGATGGCAGGCATCTGTCTCGTTTGAGTACTTGTATCAGATCAGTGTCCCACTCACCGATAAAGGAAAACGTCAAGCTCCTGGATTCCTACACTTATGTTGCACTTATGTTCGTTATAGCAGCTGTCATGGGTCCGAGTTGAGCCTTATAATGGAGAGAGTGAGCAACTTAATGCACCTCTATCCAAATGACAAGTTTATAATTGCAGGTGATTTCAACGTGTCCCATGCGGTATGGTGGCGGTATGACGCCGAGTCTGACTCCATGATTATTCGTTCTGAGTTGGTGACGCTTTGACACAATTAACTGCAGATTTCATGAGCTTCTCTGGTCTAAAACAATATAACTCACAGTTCAATGTCATAATAGACTTCTTGACTTAATTTTTTGCAATAATGCCTGCTCTGTCGAGGCTCCCTTTGTCCATTATCTCCAGAAAACGCTTATCATAGGTCCCTCTCTATCGGTGTGCATAATATGGCACCCGTATCACTTCCTCAGAAAAGTACCACTAGAAGGCTGTTTCACAAAGCTGATTATTCAGTCAGCCGCCATTCAGTCAGCACTTGCTTCGGTTAACTGGCAGTCGGAGCTCCAGGCTGCTGGTAGCGTTGATACTATGGTTAGGAATTTTTATAGAATTATTAATGCAGTAATTGACCAACATGTACCAGCTCGCATAGTGTCGAGCTCAAACCGATATCCACCATGGTACAGCCGACCCCTTATTAAATTAACCAAAGAAAAAAGGAAGTATCACGCAAAATGGAAACGTTACGGAAGTCTCCTGGATTATCAAACATTTTCTAGTCTTCGTAAGAGGGAGCGTAAGTTGCAAAGGGCCGACTATGACAAATTCATAACACTAAGTGAAGATCAAATCCATAAATCACCCAAATATTTTTGGTCATTTGTGAAATTAAATTACCAAAAAAGGCATCAACTTATTACGTTTATAGAAGAGATTGCAACCTAAATAATATCCGGAAATTCCGGGAATGCTTACAGAGTCTCTACTGGTCTGATGTATATATGAATACAGATTTAAACCCTGCCTTTAACGAATTTCATGACCTATGGTGTCTTTTTTACAATCTCTGTTTTCCTAAAGTAAGAGTTAGGGTCAACAGTAATACAAAAAACACGCAAAAGTGGGTGAGTAGGGGTCTTAGACAAAGTTGTATTACAAAACGAAAACTACGTTACGAATATTATAACAACAAAAATAATTCTAATAGAATAAAATACACAAAATATTCTTATTTGCTCAAAAAATGTATTTACAGCTCAAAAAAAATCGCGAACATAAAATATATAGAAACACAAGACAATAAGTGTAAGGCCACTTGGAATGTCATTAAAAATGTTATAAGTAATACTTCCCTCAAAGATAACATAGATGCAATTAAATTGGATGACATTGTAGTTACAGACCCTATAGAAATAGATACTGCGTTCAATAATCATTACGTGAATCTAACTAATGCATTAACGCAAGCTCGAGCGGTTCAAAATTATAGGCAAAATATATCTGTCAACTCAATGTTTCTTATACCAATGTCAGAAAACGAAGTGCGCCATGAAATAATGTCCCTGTCCAACACTAGATCAGAGGGCTATGATGAAACTAGTACTAAGATTATAAAAACTTGCTGTGATGAATTGACTGATATTTTAACTCACCTAATAAACATGTCATTTGCAACAGGAACATTTCCCGATAGATTAAAATGATCTATTGTTAAGCCATTATATAAAAAAGGAGATAAAAGTGATATTAATAATTACCGTACAATTACGTTGATTCCAATTTTTTCTAAAATTTATGAAAAATGTATGTATAAAAGGCTTATTGATTTTTGTAATAAATTTCAAATAATAAGTTCTGAACAGTTTGGGTTCCAAAAAAATAAATCCACATCATTAGCTATTTTCTCTCTTATGAAGACAATCCTCTCAAATATAAATAATAATCATCTGACTACTGGCCTTTTTTTATTTATCTAAGGCTTTCGATCTCGTGTCGCACAGCACATTGTTGGACAAACTAGAGACTATTGGAATTAGAGGACCTGCACTCCACTGGATATCGTCATATTTAGACGAGAGACAACAACGTGTCATTGTTAGTAAAATAAACAATAATAGAGATATGATACCGTTCTCGTCAGAATATAGGCAAAATAAATGTGGCGTCCGCAAGGAAGTGTTCTGGGTCCAATATTGTTTCTTCTATATATTAATGACATAATAAAAATAACCGAATATAAATGCATACTATTTGCTGACGATATATCCATCATAGTGACATCAGATAAAAAGAAAAACAAGACGGACCATGAGTTTGACATTAATAATACAATAGACAAATTACTGCTTTGGCTTGACATGAATAATTTAAAAATAAATTTAGATAAATCAGTTTATATTCAATTTAATCGATCAAATAATAATAAAAATAATGTACTACTTAATATAGAGGTAGATAAACTAAAAGAGGTAACACATACAAGGTTTTTAGGCGAAAACAATAGATAGAGATATTAACTGGAAGGAGCACGTGGATAATGTAAGCACTCGAATAAATAAATTTGTATACGCACTGAAGCAGGTTAAAAATATAACTAACATAAAAACTGCAATTATGTCATACTACGCCTATGTTGGGTCGCTATTGCGATACGGCCTCGTAATGTGGGGTAATAGCACCAATATGGATAGAGCATTTGTCGCACAAAAAAAGTGCATCAGAGCAATGAGTGGTCTTCAACCTGATGGCTCTTGTAGACCAGTGTTTAAAAGATTTGGTTTGCTACCTCTGCCGTGTCTGTACATATATGAGGTATGTGTATTTGTGGCTAACAATAAGAGATTATTTGAATCAGCACATTATATCAATCCTAGAAACAGACGAGACCCTCATAAACTGGTATTAAGTGATTTGCCAAGACTTGCCAAATACAATAAAAACTGTTTAGCAATGTGCGTACGTATTTATAACAAATTACCAAGTCGCTTTAAAGTAATGAACACAAGGAGACTTAAGATCGAATTATACAAGTGGCTCAATGAATGTAATTTTTATAGTTTATGTGATTTTATGAATGTGAAATGTTAATTACCTGCTCACTTCTGTCAAAATAACAAACTTTTGCATGCTATGTTTTACCTTAGCGAAACATGTTGAGCTATTGTAACAATATTAACACCAATGTATACCATGTTTTACGCAAATAAATGATTTACTTACTTACTTACTTACTTGCAACATACCGACTTCGGTGAGATAATGGAATTGCGAGTGGCGAAATATTTTGAATGAAATTGATGACAGCTTGTTGTGTATTCAATGTTAGACGTTTACATTTTTAAAGTGGAATGGTTTAACATTATCGTTTCGGTTCCGAGTTACTTTACAATCATTAAGCTAGTTACAGTTCATATAAAATTTTAATATTGTATGTATCTGTATAATTAATATTGTCTAAGAAGCATCAAATTGAAATTTTTTTTTATCAATTATCGATTAATTCTAAAATGCCGGTGGCGTTGAGCCACTTAAGCCCATATTTATAGCGGTTTATTGGGTTCTGATTTCCTAAATATATTTTCTTAAAGCGTGTTTGGGACATACGTAATTACTATATTACTTACTTTTTCCCAGTTCTAATAACTACTGCCTACAATTTTAAATTATAGAGTCACTGGATGAACCTTTTCAAGCTTATATTTTCAAATTTTTTGAAATGTATTTTTTTTTTCAAATGCACCAAAATACGTACCTAAGAATATATATTACGTACGTACGCTATATAGTATTACAAAGAATTTGCAAAACATAAGGAAATGTATCTGAGGTTATTCTAATAGCTACCGAACAGAATTATACGTATCCTATATTACAACAAACTTTTCCTTCACAAAAAAGGAAATGGTAAAGGTTTCAAATAACATATTCGATTAAAACTTTCCTTTAATTTGTTGCGAAATTTTGATTTCTAAACTTTCCCCTTTGCAGTCGATTGAAAACGAAATATCCCCTCAATGCGGTCAGCCCTCTTGTCACAAACCCATAGCAAATTTACGCGCCACTTCACCGCGACTATAGCGGATACAAATCATTTGTTATCTGTCCTATTGCTTATATACTCTTTGCTGTTAGAGGCTGAATGTGCGGCGCCTTTGCCAGTTTGTGCAGAAAAAATTTTATTATTATTATTATTTATGATTTTTATTGCCAGTAGGTATCTCGTATCAACGTTGTCCGTGGGTTCAATAAAGAGTGTTCAATATTGCCTGTTGCTTGTTAGTAACTATGAAATATGCTGGACCAGTTTAAGTAATTTTGATTATTCAATACTAGCGACCCGCCCCGGCTTCGCACGGGTGCAATATGCATGTATTATACATACAAACCTTCCTTAAGAATCACTCTATCTATTAAAAAAAACCGCATCAAAATCCGTTGCCTAGTTTTAAAGATCTAAGCATACATACGGACATACAGCGAAAGCGACTTTGTTTTATACTATGTATTGATAATTAATGGTTATATTGACTCACCCCCACTATTAGAAAGAATATATCTAAGAGCGCCCGACATGGTTCCCGCTTGCGAACATTATTTTCAGTGCCCTCTTATAGGACAATATACACAAGTAACAACTTTTTCAAACGCAGTGTTAGCACTTATAACGAAGAATTAAATGAACTAGACATATTTAACTCGTCGAGTACCGGTTTTGCAGACACAATTATAGAACAATAGGTTGCGGTCACCGGTGACCGCTTGGTGTTTGACAGTTTAATACCAGTTTCAATGTTTTATTCTCAGAGCTAGGAAGGAAATTATATCACGGTCACTTTATAAGTATGGAAATTCGTTTATCATTTTAAAAACTTTATCTGTATAATTCTTTTCTTGTTTTTTTTAATGTATACTACTGATTTGACACCTTTAAAAACAGTGCCTTTTCGTATTTTATTGTTTTATGGAACTCTAGGTATGTATGTATCACACTGTAATGTAATAATTTTATTTGTAAGAGACTGTTTGTTTTCTGAATAAAGAAAAATAAAATAAATAAAAATAATGTTATGTTTGTTAACTGCGGCTTCGGTAGCGGATTAAGTAGCGACAGTCGTCAAAACACGTAAAAAAACATTTTTCTGTCGACTTCTCCCCACTAGTAACTAATCTAACTATGGTTAATACTCTGATCTACATTTAGCATAACATTTTGTAGAAAAATATCGTCACCCGGTCACAAAGTGGTAGATTGTACTTCGGCTGATCATACAAAAGAAAGAATTATGCGTTCATCTGAGGTATAGTCCATCCTTTCACAGCCCGCTGATGATTCCCTTTCTTCTAAAAATTATGCTAACTGTAAAGTAGATGAGTCTCCAATCAGGAGTAAACGGTTAAAACATAATACTTTGTTAGATGTTTGAGCGGCTGCCACTACTCAACTCATGCTCACACAACTAAAATATCGCATGTACTCGGGCATGTTATTAATATTTGCATTTACCAGGGTGTCTTCCCAGAAATATTAAAAAAGACTATTATTAAACCCTTATTCAAAAAAAATGATAAAAATGACATGGGCTGTTACAGACCAATAGCGTTAGTACCTGTTATATCCAAAGTAATTGAGAAGGTGATTCACGAAAGATTATACAGTTACTTTGAAACTAATAACCTATTCACTAAGGAACAAGTAGGTTTTAGGAAAAACAAAAGTATCAATTTGGCAATTTACTCATTCTTGAAACACATTATGGTTAGCATCGATTCAAAAAGTCATGCATATGCGCTCTATATGGACTTAACAAAAGCATTTGATTATGTTGATCATGTTATCTTGCTTGAGAAATTATATGCTTATGGGGTTAGAGGTAATGTACATAACCTTATAAAGAGTTATCTATGCAATAGGAAACAGTCAACACACATAACTAGAATATGCTCTATTTCCAAAGAAATAAAAACTTACAAATCAGATTTTATTGAAAATAAATTTGGTGTGCCACAGGGTAGTGTGTTGGGACCATTATTATTC